CCCTTTTTGGGACTTTGTCTCAAGAGGTTTGTCCCTTACACAATCGTCTGATCCCTTTTTAATTGTTAGCGACTAACCCGCGCGAAACAATTTGGCACGCCCAGTGGGACAGTGGTGTTTGGTGTTGAAGATACAAAAGGTGAAACAATATACCTCAGAGATTCGATAAGGCACCAGCAAGTCAGGGAGGAGTCCAGTCTGTGATCGAGCGATATGGGGAGCAGCATAGCTCTCCACGAACAGATGGACAGAATCAGAGCAGTAACAGTCGTTACGAATCAATGACAGAGTTGAGTCCTCGAACTATGTGTGCACTACTTGGAGAACTCACACAAGATGTCGTTGAACAGGTAAATCTTCGAAATATTCATAATATGGAAAGGTTTACCCGGAATGGGAATGCACATTATGATAACATGGCCAAACAACTGAATACTTTGAACAAAATAATGAACAAGTTAATGGGCCAAATTTGTCAACCGGTTATGCCTCTTGCAAACCATTTTCAAACTAGGACAATTGTGGAACATAATCCCCCAGTCCTAAATCCAAGTCAAGGGATAGAATCACATTTCGGTCCCTCTATTTCAAACCAAGGGGATGGTGTAATACCAAATCATACTAATAGTAGTGGTACGCCTAATTTGGGGGGTAATCCAAATGTAAGAGATAATGTCCTAAATAACGGACATAATACCCCACGTGTTAATGAGGGAATAAATGTTCAGGCTAATGGTAACAATGACCCAAATCATGGTAACTTTATTCCTAATCAAGGACCAAATATCAGGCCTCAAGCAAATCAACCGGTCAACCAACCTGTAGGGATTCCATATGACCCCAACGTCATGTTGAGGAATCAGATTGTGGAAATCGTACAGGACCAGATGGCTTTTGGGGTACGTCCTGTCATTAGGTCAATTTACACAAAGCCATATCCTGATTGGATAGACCAAGCATATCCATGGCCTAGAGGATATAAAGTGCCAGAATTCTCACTGTTTACCGGTTTAGGGGAAGTGTCTACTCTAGAACACATAGGACGATTCACACTGCAAAGTGGTGACGTAACTGATTATCATAAAATGAGGCTTTTCCCTAAGTCATTAACAGGAGTAGCTTTCTCCTGGTTCATCAATTTGCCAGCGGATTCTGTTCAAATATGGTAACAATTGGAACAATTATTCCACCCTCAGTTTTATAAAACTGAGTCTGAAATTACTTTGACCGATTTGGCGAACCTACGTCAAATGCCAAACGAATGGGCAGAAGGTTTCCTTCAAAGGTTCAAGACAGCAAGAAGTAAATGTTTTGTACCTCTACCCGAAAAAGAGTTTGTCAAAATCGCTCATGGTTGTTTGAATTTTGATTTAAAATAGAAATTCCAAGACAAGGAATTTCCTGACCTTTTCCAATTGAGTGCAAACGTGATTAGGTATGAATGATTGATAAGAGAAGAAGAGCAGATAAAAAATTCTAGTAAAGGGACTTCTTATAGAGACCCAAATTTTGATGTTCATACTATCAATGACGAGTCATACGATCAGACCGAAATGTGTTTGGTCGAATTAGTCAAAGGAGACACGTATACTTGTCCCATAATGGCTAAGCCTAGACCATCGGGCAAAGATGAGCCTATGAAAGATGAAAACATAAAAGGTAGAACGTTCTCGTTCGATGTAACCAAAGCTGACCTTATATTCGATAAATTATATAAGGATAAGCAGATAAAGCTGAGCGATAAGCATAAATTGCCAAACCCTGAACAAATAAAGGGTAAAAAGTATTGTAAATGGCATAATGCATGGTCACATTTGACTAACAATTGCTTGATTTTTCGCCATGTGTTACAGGATGCCATTGAATCAGGACGAATTACGTTCGATGACAGGAAGAAGATGGCGGTGGATGAAAATCCTTTTCCACAGCCACTTGGAGTGAATATGGTGACGTCTGGTTTCAAAAACAAGTTGCCAAAATTCAAATTGGTTAGAGATGATGGAGAAGAAGACCCTGGACCACTTCCCAGTGTTTTTGAGCGTATTAAAGGGAAGGAGTCTAAGAAGGATGAAGACGTCTTGTGTGCAAGATGTAAAGAGAAGTGAGTGGGGATACGGAAAAATCAGGGATATGGCAACATCCCCATCTCCCTACTCTCCTCCCAAACGCTCGGCTTGGTAGAGGGCGAGGTACATTGTTCTACAAGGGACCGCCTTTTGAGAGGTAGTTCAGGCCAGTAGCTAATGGGAGAACATTCAGGCCGCAACCTCACCGACCAAATGTATGGCATTCGTTCCAGTATAATGAAGGAAGGGCAATACCCTTCGATGAGATGACTAGAACCCAACAAAGGCGTTTCCAATGAAACTATGGACGAATGATAAGGCAGCAACAGGGAGTGCCACATCCTAAAGTGCCTAAACTACTCAAGGTAGCCAATCAAAATGTTCTCAAAGATAGTGAAGAGATCAGTACAGATGAATCAATGAAAGAGCTGCCAGAAATTTCTTTTGGGAGATCGAAGTTTGAGCGAGGCAGAAAGGATGAAGAAGATCCAGATCAGCTCCTTACTATTTAGTTCGGTACGTTACCTCCTGTTGTGGCTAATAATTATTTACTGGCCAATGAGTTCAAGAATAAAGAGAAAAAAGAAGAAGAAATAGAGGGTAACGAAGGAGAAGAATGCGTGCTGGAATATGAAGAAGGCCAGACTTCTAGAGAGGCCTACAACGGTGAGGAAGATGATGGTATGGCAGACATTGAAGAGGAAATCGATCTGGAAGCAGAAAGGAAAAGAAGAGGAGTATCGCACAATACTCTATTGAAG